TCTTTTCAAACTTAGCTGGCTTGGCTTCATCAATTCCTATTTGTTTAATTAGCAAAATAATCTTTAATAATTGAAGATTAAACATATCAAAATTGAGAATTAAACTGCTCTTAACAAGCTAAATTTTTAACCCTTTTTTTCTCTGAAAAGAAAGAAATTAGTGGGAAACCTTTTATTGTTTACCTTAAATAATCAAATTAAAATAAGTAAAGTAGGTATCAGAATGTATGAATTTATCTTTTGATGCCTCAATTAATTGAATTAAGAATTTACATCACATAAAATCAAACGAATAATTAATCGCTTTTTTTTTCAATTTTGCAAGTTTTTAGATACATGGAACATATTATTTCCTTGACCTTCAATTTTTTAATTTGAGAAGCCATTATTATTATATAATTATTTTCAAATTTAATGTATCAGAGTAAATTTCAAATTTAAACTGCCAAAAACATTAATTTTTATTTTCTGATATATATAAAAATTTATTATTTTTATGTTACACAAAGAGAAGTGAATATATTTTCATATGATCAAAATACCCACCAAGTCTTTATATGTATGTATTTTATTCAAATTCAGAGAAATAACTTGCATTATATTATAATAAAATAATACAAAAAATTGAATAATTTTTTTTCTTTTATTTATAATAGTACAAAAATTTGAAATTTATTTAACTTAGCTTTTAATTTAAGTTAAACCCAAATTAGCAAAATAGGTTGATTTAGTTTTTTCTTTTAAAATAATGAAGAATGAGATATGGAGTTAGTGATGTTTATAAAAATAATTCTTCGTTCGAACTTGCTTAATTTGGATATGATAAATTTCTTATTATAATTATAGAATCTGAGTTACTCTAACACTTTCATATTTAATTTATTTTTTATTTTTTATTTTATTTAATATTTCAATTTATATATTTTTAATTAAAATTTTTGAATTAAAGACAGCATTTATGGTTGATAGAGTTAATTATAATTATAAATATTTGTATAATATTATTTTGTATTTATAATTTTTTTATATCTAAATTAATAATTTAAATTTAACAGAATTTGATTGTAGTATTTGAATTTAAATAAAATCATTTTATAAGAAATTTTGAGTAAATTTAAATAAAAAGTAAATTGAGTAAGGATTGAATAATTTCAAAAAAATAGGTATTTGTAAATTGTTAAAGTTATAACTAAATTAACCTATTTTGCTAATTTAAGTTCAACTCAAATTAAAAATTAAGTCAAATAAATATTAAATTTTTATACTATTATAAATAGAATAAAAATAATTTATTTAATATTTTTATATTATTTTATTTCAATATAATGTAAGTTATTCATCTAAATTTGATTTTGGGTATGAAATTTTTTTCAAAATTTTTTATACAAGACAAATTTAAACTTTATTTTTGTAAAAAATATAATTTAATATATATATTTTAAAATCAAATAATCAAATAAAAAATCCATCAAAAGATATCCTAATATTTAAATTCTCACACTTGTGACTTAAAATTATTATATTTGAATTTCAAAAACAAATCAGCGTTAAATAAAATGAAAAATATTCTCCAATGCATAGTACAAGCAAGACATTAAATTTACTAAGCTTAATTAGAGTCTTAATGTTTCATTTAAAGCGGGATTAATTCTATAGAAAAATTAATATTTTTTAGTGCTTATACTTTCTCTTTTTTTTATGTACAATTATCAAAAGACAGACATGAGAAAAAAAAATTGGACTAACAATTTTTATTTTTTAAGTTGGAAGTTCGTTATATATATATATATATATATATAGACAGAAAAAAAATAAAAAGATAAGAAAGTTTGATGTGAATCATAATTGTAATGACCCACTAGGATATGAATAATGTCAAAAATATTTGGATGATTAAAGGCTTTGGAGGATGCACGGGTGTGCTGCTTACTTTCAACGTTTAGGAATCAAACATCCAAAGTACAACATCAAAATTTAAACGCAAGCTTTACTTGATTTATGTCACCTTTTTGCTCTATGCTTAAATTAGAAATAATTGCTTTCAAAGTTAATTATGGTAGTCTCACAATATTTAGTATTAAGTGAATTTTGACCACCAATAATTTCCGAAATTAATTAATGCAGTTAGTTCTTTTGCATGGTGGACTAGAAAGGTCATGAATGAGATAAAAATAGGTTAAAATTAGTTGAATGATATGGTGTGTGTATATATGTATAGGGTCTAGGGTACAAGGAGACCCTCCCCTAATTAAGCATTACTAATCCATTTTTTTATTGTTTTTCCATAATCAAATACCACTTCATAATAAAGATTAAAAGCTTGAAATGATCTTTTATGATATAATTATTTATACAATTAGTTCAATTATCGAAAAACTTTTACAATTTTATTATCATTATTTGAATTTAATAAAAAAAATATTTAAATCTTACTTTTTAAACGAGACATAATTAAGAAAAAAAATGATTGAGAACAAATTTCATTTTATTTTTCAACTTGACTACATACATAACAAAAACTGAAAGATCCTAATAAACTTTTATATTAGAATGGTAAGTCTTTTTATGTCAAATATATAAATCAATTACTCTTTTTGTTTCTAAATAAATATCTACCATATATTTCTAAGGTGTCTTGAAATCATGTCCACTTCCTTCTTCTTTTTTACCACTTATAACACTTTTTTAACATTTATATTATTTGTAATAATTTTTTACTATTTGACATTAAAAATTATTGAACAATGACATTAATAATATAAAAATATTAAAATTTTAACATAAAAAACCATTAAAATCAAAGCACTGGAGGAAGTGTTATACTTGAAAATGGAGATGAGTAGGAGGATATTTGTTTTTTCAAACTTTAATGGTATGGTAGTCCTTCAATTGAACATAGCACGTGTTGATATGACATCTACAAATTGAAAAAATAGAGAGAAAAAAAAAAAGGAAGAAAGACAACATAGGAAAAGAGCAAAAGGCAAAAGGGGATCAAGTAAATGGGGCATGCAATCATCACTGCTTGTTGATTTGGCATCGCCCGATTGCATTTGAATTTGATACGTGAAGAGATAGAAGAGAAAGGTTCATGACTTCAATTTGATGCATGGAAAATCAAGCTTTTGCCTTGTATTATTGATAAATTCTATATATTTTTAGATAAATTTAAATTATGTATATATTATCAAAGCATATTATGAAAAATTAATCTCTGGTAAATTTAAATTATATATAATTATTATTTATATTTTTTCATTTTTTAATTTTTAAAATTTTTAATTAAAATTTCAATTTTCATCCCTGAATGCCCTTTGTGTATTTTAATCTTTAACTCATAGTTTTCTGTTGTGTTTTCTAACTTGGCGGGAAATCGCTGTCAGAGCAGTTTCCGCATTCAGGTGGGCGGTTTTCTGAGAGTGGGTCCGCCCCTGTCTGCAATCACCTTCCTCTGATGATTCTCTCAAATCCGCAAACTTTCTCTCTCCCCTCCCCCGCCCGCTCACATCTTGCGCTTCATCCTCACTCTCCTGGGGTTGTCCCCAAGTGGCTGTCCGATAGAGGGACTGTGACATTCACGACCACCTTCTGAGGAGTGGGGAAAAATGGTTTCAGTGATAGGAGGGGCCCAGAAGCAGTGCGACCGTGCGCCAAAAAGTCCACGAGGATTTAGTCTAAAGGCAGGTGTGGTCCCACACGGTTTTGATATTTGTCTGTTAACTCTTTTGAAGTTTGATGCCTCAGTCCTCATCACTATCGTCTTTTGTGCTGTGCTCACAGATCGAGTACTACGCCCCTCGGTACTTGCCTACTTGGCCTTTCTAATAAATTTTTCTTTTTTATTTTTTTCTATAAGAAATTTTTCTAATTTTTTAATTCTTTTCAATTCATAAATAATATTATCTTATTTATATACTTTTAGTTTTCCCAAATTAATATCTCGTTTAAATTTTTTTAAAAAAATCAGTTAATCAATTAATTTT